TTATTTTTCATGTTTCATTGAACAAATTCACTCTTAGTGCAATTTTTAAGTTCTTCTTTTAGAGTAAACTGTTCTTTTGCTTGTTAAGTGTTGTTTAAGTTGCAGTTAAGAGTTAATGTGTTCATTCCTTGATATATTTCTTTTCTTGTGTGTGTAATAAATTTTTTATTGCACATTGACTCATTTTGCAATAATTCTTGTGCAAATATTGTGTTGCCACTAAAGTTTTTCTTGCAGAGATTCTAGCAGTGTTTTTTTTTGATTAGCAATTATTTGCAATATTGCTACAGTTTATTTCAGTGCGGTTTCATATGCTCTGTTCTGTGCATAATATTTTATTCTGTCTGTGTCATTTTATTTTATTTCAGTGAATTGTGCCTCTGTTTCATTTTTGCACAAGTTTTATTGAGTCCATTTTATCATTTTATTGTGTATTTCCCTGTTGCATTGAAAGTAAAGACAACTCACTGTGCCATTCATTCAATTTAAAGTAAAAGTTGAGCAAATTAAATTGAGTAAAGTATAAGTTCTCTTGATTTTCAAAGTATTGTTCATTTCAGTTGAATATTTTTCTTCTGTGAGTTCTTTGCTTACTGTGTGACCTGTCAATTTTTAATTACTTATGCAGAATCGTTAAGCATTTTTTTCACCATTTAAGTTCACTGTGTTGTGTGTTCTCAGCCACATTTTCTTTTGTTCTCTAAATTCTTTTTTTTACTTTTTGCAAATATGTCTCAAGTTTTCTCAAGCGATGCCTCAGTACATGCTGCTAGTACAACTATTAATTCGTCAGCCCAAAATTCGAGTAACTCCTTATCAAACGATAGACATACTCAGACTTCTAGACTACGTAATTTCAGTCGTGATCCGTATGATGCTATGCCATTGTTCAATGGTGACCCAGACAACCTTGAAGGTTGGTTTACCGCAGTTAGAGCCAGAGCTAATGCTTCAGTTGATGGTCTTCCATCTGAGAGTTGTTTGATCAGTATCGGAAAAGAGAGTCTAGCCCGTTCTCCAGCAGCCTCAAATGTATTTAAATTAATTCGTATGAAGGGCTTCCAAGATCTAACCAGGTGGCAAGATTATGAACAGTTAATTCGCAATTATCTTGAACCGGTGCGAGAAACCGATCCGTTCGTTGTTCTCAAAGAATTAGTTTGCACAGCTCCGAGACCGGAAGAGTCATTAGATGAGTTTGCTCTTCGTCTTAATAACCTAATGTCCTCATTCGTTAAAGCAGGTCAAAATTCAAAGTACCTTAAATATAACGATAAACCAGCTCTTGATGGGTTTGCCAAATTAGCTGCATTTGGAGTTATTGAACAACTAATGCCACCGACATCTAGGTATGTGTACAATTCAAGTCCGCTAGATGCTACTATGGGACCGCTTGCAGCTCTAATCCATGTACGAAATTTGTGTCCCGAGAGAACCTTCCCTTATCGTAAGTCTATACCAAACACCTTGTCCAATCCTGTACCTCCTCTAGTTTGTGCTACTACCAAAACTCCCAACCTTAATCACTCGCGTCCATCATCCAAAGCAAGTGTTAAGAGCCATCATTCCGTAGCACCGTAGTATGTACAGTACCCACAGTCAAAGAGTTTGCTACAATTGTGGTTACCGTGGCCATATTGCTATTAATTGTCATGACAGTCACCCTAAGAAGCGTCGTACTGATGATGAGTACCAGTCAGATCTTCCCTACTGTACTTATCATAGAATTCATGGACATGACACTTCTGAGTGCAATGCTCTCTACAACATGCAGTACTCTAGATCGTTCCGTGGCCGTTCCAACCGCAGAGCCAGGAGAGAAAACAGACGTCGTGGTTCACAAACTAACCAGAACCAGGCTCATTCTTCCAATTCGGGGGAATCCTAGCGCCCAAGTCTACTCGTCCAGTCGTGACAGTAGTAGGTGATAACGAGTACACCATCCCAGTCCAGAATTCCTATGAAGCCTTAGCCAGCCTTGAGATTGACAGCCCTGCTGTTGATGCTGCTTCTCCGATGACTACCCACCTTTCTGTTTGCATATAACTCCTAATGAAACGATTGGTCCATTAGTACAAGCTTCTGTCCATAATGCGCCCGTTCATGTGTTCATGGACTCTGGTGCGCAAGTTAATATCATTAGGTCTAGCTTGTTTAAAGAGAAACAGTTACGACGTGTCCTCCTCGTTGAACCAACTACTGTAACCTCCCTTAGTGGAGTAGCTGGTTCTCTTCTGCGAGTCCGAGGTCAGACTTTGCTCACCTTTACTATCCAAGGAAGAGACTTTACTGCTGCTTTTCTTGTTGTCGACCAGATTACTTTCCCTGGTGACCTTCTACTGGGATTTGCTTCCATGCAAGACTTACACATTGTGCTCGACCCGTACAGGTGGCATGCCCAAATTGACGACTTGATCGTTCCATTCTGGGGTTACCAGCTTGGATCAGAAATCTGTCATACTGCTGCAGAGTATGATGTACGCATTAAGTCCTTACAAGCCAATGCATTCTCCAGTAGCGTACCCAAGCGGTCAGGCACTGGTAACTCTGTCACTCCCATCTGTGTTCCACCTACACCTTCAGATATGCAAGATAGTGTATTGCCTCAAGTGTCCGAGGACGCTCAGACTGCTTTGAGTGCTCTGCCTATCCCTGCAATGTCTGCTAGTCCAAGTAGTAGTTTCTCCACAGGGGACGCCTTGTCGGAAAACGATTACTTGAAACTAGTAATGCCATCTCTTATTGATGTCACATGCCGTCTGCAGAAAGACGTCTCTGTTGCGGCTAGTGCTCTCACTAGAGTGTCTGTTGTTGTTCCTAATGTTCCAGATGGTGATAACGTCCTAGTTGACAGTGATTCCTGCAAGGTCAAAGGTTTATTTGTTGAACCTTCCTTACACATTGTAAGAGACAGAAAGATCCATTTACTCCTTGCTAACACTTTGGGTCACAGTGTTCGTCTCAGAGCAAATACCAACCTCGTTGTCCTAGTTCACTATCCTTACCCTGTTCAAGTACAGGATGACGTGCCACCTGACCAGTGGGTCGGTGCTATTTCAACAGTGGAGACCTCATCCACTCCGTTGGATCAATCTATCCCACCAGTTGAGGAGAAAGACTTAGCTCCCACTGATTTCCCAGACGAAGTCCAGCACTTGTTGACGCTGTTGAACAAACGTCGTACAGCCATTGCCTTACCAGGTGAGAAGATGGGTATAACGAACTTATTGTCCCATCGTATTCCACTTGAACCTGGTACCAGACCTATTTATATACCTGCGTACAGAATGCCTCATTCCCAAGTTGCTGTCGCAGAGGAACTGATCAATCAAATGCTCAATGATGGAGTTATTGCACCTAGCAATTCACCCTGGAATGCACCCTTGATCCTAGTGCCTAAGAAGGATGGCACTTGGCGCCCGGTAATTGACTTTAGGAAGTTAAATGCGAAAACCATTCCAGATCGTTTCCCACTTCCTGTACTAGGTGACCTTTTATGCAATATCGGAGATAACAAAGTCTTCTTGACCCTTGACTTGTTACAAGGTTTTTGGCAAGTCCCTCTTCACGAGGACAGCCAAGAGTTAACTGCATTCTCCACTCCCACAGGTCATTATCACTTCCTCCGTATGGCGTTTGGATTATGATCGTCTCCTATCACGTTCTCTAGACTCATGACCAACATCTTTAGAGGTCTTATAGGTAAAGCACTTATGGTGTACTTAGACGACGTAATCGTCATGTCCGAAGACGTGGACACACACCTGAAAAGACTTGATATAGTACTTGGCAAGCTTGAAGAAGCAAATTTAAAGATCAAACTGTCCAAATGTCAATTTCTCAGATCAAAAATTAAGTTTCTTGGTCACGTAGTCACTCCTAGAGGGGTTACGACTGATCAAAGTAAAGTAACTGCAGTACTAAATTTTCCAACTCCCAAAACTGCTGATGCCGTAAGATCCTTTGTGGGCTTAGCAGGTTTTTATAGCCGCAGAGACCGCTCAGCCGCATTCATGACTACTTATATATATATATATATATTATGTATTATATATATATATTTTATATATATATTATATATATATTATATATATATATATAATATATATATATTATATATATATATATATATATTGGTGGGAATCGGCCAGTGTGTTAATAAAAATAATATATATATATATATATATATATATATATATATATATATATATATATATATATATTATATATATATATATTATATATATATATATATATATATATATATATTAATTATTTGGAAAAAAAAATTGAAAGAGAATTGACGCCCATACCTGCAAATCACCTAGAATAGAACAGAAGATAACTGACGATGTGTCTAAAGCTGAAGAAGACACATGACAACACTTAAGATTCACCATCGTAGTGTTCACACTACCCAGATCATATAATAATTTTGATAACTCTATGAATGCGTCTTATTTATGGACTAGGGTTAGGTAAGGTTTGTCAGGAAAGAGGACAAGTGTTTCCTGATGCGGGTCTTAGTCATATGACGACCTGCCACTGGAGCTTTCGGTCGTCTGACTGAAGCCTTCCACTGGCTTACCGGTCCACCCCTTTAAATATTATGGTTATGATTATAACCATATCATAACATTTATAGAATATATTATTATTTTATAGCAAGATTCTCGCTAATTTTTAAATTAGAATAATTTTTATGCAATAAAATTAATAAGAACATAAGAAAAGAGGAACATTACAGCAGGCCACTAAGCCCATACTAGGCAAGTTCTTCTCAAACCCAAACCCACTATTGTATATTATTCATTTTTATTAGTGAATAAAAAAGTGAATGAGGATTCTATTTATTCATTAATTTATTTATTCATGACGATGATAATTTGCTACAGTTCATGGATTATCACAGTTTTGTAATAATGTTAAAAAAATCTTGAAATCCACAATTTTTGGGCTGTCTCATTAATAACAATAACAACTATGAACAAAGTTTGCGCCATTATCCAAGGATTAATATTTTACGGCTGTGAATACAGCCTCGACGGCTGAGATACAGAGTGACCAAAACCCGTTGAAAATCCAGCTGTACTGCCGAAGCTGCCACTGTCACTCGCAAAACCAACACCGCCACCAAAGCCGGTTACCAAACCAGAGCTGCCACCAAAACTTCCTCCACCTAAGCTGCCACCTCCAAAACTTCCACCACCAAAGCTGCCAACGGTGTTACCAATCAGATCACCGCTACCTTGGGCAGCGGAGCTGAGGGCAGACTGAAGATCGCCACCGGTGGGCAGAGATGGGTTGTCGCCTTCGGCATAGTTGACGAAGTACAATTGCGGAGTCTCTTGCTCTGGTGCCGGTACTTGGATGACCTTCTGCTGGTGCACAGGTCGTTTGCTGAGGACGTACAAGACATTTTTCTGTTGAGGTGGTGGCACCACAATTGGTTCCAGGGCTGGGAGGGGTTCTGGGTTACGAATGAACACAATATTATGGTCAAGTCTTGGTGGGGGAATGTATGGTCGTGGACCAACGATCGGCGTCACCTCAGGAGCATTGTACACATACAAGTTGCGGGTGATCTGAGGAGTTACGCAGTTGCCGTCCACATGACGGATCTGTCCATGACCACAGCTGCCTCCAGGAAATCCAAAGCCTCCTGAGGTTAATCCTGAAAATCCTGAACCTCCAGAGAACCCGGAACCGCTTGAGAATCCTGAACCAGAGGAGAATGCTGACCCAGAGGGCGTGGCTAGGTTGTAGCCTGGAGGTTCGGCGACCGCAGTGACAACCAGGAAACAGGTCAATATCTGCAGGGAAATGAAAGTAACAACTTAAAATATGTCGACGAGGAAAAATATTTTATGAGTAAAGAAGATAAGAAAATATGCATTTAACCGTGGATGAATGGACAGAAAAACGTCCATACACAAGTGTCAGGATTGATGGAATAGTTCAAGTCAGACTTATAAAAAAAAGAGTGCTAAAGAGTTTGACTGTTAGAAGAAAAGAAAGTTGTAGTGCCATTAGATGGAAGCGAAAGATAAAACGTAAACTGAGAGAAGATATGTGAAACATATTTAGAGAAGCTCTAAGAAATATATCCTTAGAATTATCCAGGAAGGCCTTTGCATAATTTTTAGTAAATATGTAAAATTGGTTAGTTGAATAAGATTGTATCCTTGATGTGAAGACAATTCCACTGGTGAACGGTTACGAATATTATCATATTCTCCCCGCGCGCTGTTTGACCCCTTACCGGTTTAGCGCTCCCTCTCTCTCATGAATGTCATAATAATAATATAAGGTAAAAGTAAGTCAATCACTCAACACCAACGACTACCACAAATTCGTCACTATCACTTTTACGACCTGATTGCCAGTAGGTATCTGTCCACAAACGGATTCACTTATCCAGCTCCTACACCATCCAAGCTATATTATGTAAGCTATATTATGTAAACCATATTATGTAAAACTATATTATGTAACCTATATTATGTAAGAGACTATTGATATATTGAAAAGTGTAGCAGCACTACTGCAGAAGGAAGCACTCACCAGGAGTTCCATGGTGGCGTCTGATGATTGACCAAGACATCTGAGCCTTATATACCTACCTCCGTTTCCCGCTCTTTCCCATAAGTTTTTTTAATCCCTTTCCTTAGGGATCCCTTTCACCGTCCCTGGCTGAGTGTCCCGGGATGACCCAGTGTTCAACTAATTTCTGTAACAGACTCTAGATTTAGGTACGAAATGTAATTGATTTGAAAATGGAACATTAGTAACGTTAAAACTTGTAAATCATTATGTGTATGTTGACCTTGATATAAACACAACACATACAGGGACGATCTACTGTGCTTTTCGCTCTTGCAGTTGTATCTCACACTGGGTTTACCACCATCACTCTGTAAAGAGTATGTGTGGAATCGCTCTTTATATTTAAAGGACTTTAATAAATTAATTGATTTGCATGCCATTTTTTCTTCTTCAAATGAGATGCTTCTCTCTCTCTCTCTCTCTCTCTCCTCACGAAAGTAACACATTGCTATTACCAGTACTGGTACTAGCAATACTACTATTATCAGTACTGGTAATATCAGTATCTAGGACACAAGGTACTTGTAATAGCAGTAACTGGGGCACAAGGTACTAGTAATAGTAGTAACTGGGGCACAAGGTACTGGTAATAGTAGTACCTCAGACACAAGGTACTAGTAATAGCAGCACATGGGACACAAGGTACTGGTATTAACAGTATCTGGGATACAAGGTACTGGTAACAGTAGTACCTGGGACACAAGATACTGATACAAGTAGTACTTGGGGTACAAGGTACTGATATTAGCAGTACCTGGGACACAAAGTACTGGTAATAGCAATACCTGGGGCACAAGGTACTAGTATTAACTGTACCTAGGACACAAGATATTGGTATTAGCAGTACCTGGGGCACATGATAATGGCATTAACAGTACCTGGGGCACAAGGTACTGATAATAGTAGTACCTGGGACACGAGGTACTGGTATTAGCAGTGCCTGGGACACAAGGTATTGGTATTAGCAGCACCTGGGACACAAGGTGCTGGTATTAGCAGCACCTGGGACACAAGGTACTGGTACAAGCAGTACCTGGGACACGAGGTACTGGTACAAGCAGTACCTGGGACACAAGGCACTGGTACAAGCAGCACCTGGGACACAAGGTACTGGTACAAGCAGTACCTGGGACACAAGGCACTGGTACAAGCAGTACCTGGGACACAAGGTACTGCTTCTACCACTAGTGAACATCTAAATGGTACCTCACTAGTATTGCACCTCACTCTGAGCCTCTTTATACCCTCTGTGTCCATGTATTGTTTGTAATGGCTTGATAAAGCTCCTGGAGAGCGAAACGTTGCCACAATAAAATGTCACATTAGTTGCACTTGTGTCCTTTTACTTTACATATTGTCGGTAATTCTACCAACTTTATTACAAGGGATTATGTATACCCCTGCAGAGGGTGGAAGCTTGTCCTGTCTATCACTGGTAATGTCCTTGATGGTCGTGGTTGTGGAGGTAGATACTTGGAATGAGGTATTGGAAAAGATGTTGGAAACGTGTTTGGCAATGGTACAAGCAGTACCTGGGACACAAGGTACTGGTACAAGCAGTACTTGGGACACAAGGTACTGGTGCAAGCAGTACCTGGGACACAAGGTACTGGTGCAAGCAGTACTTGGGACACAAGGTACTGGTACAAGCAGTACTTGGGACACAAGGTACTGGTACAAGCAGTACCTGGGACACAAGGTACTGGTACAAGCAGTACTTGGGACACAAGGTACTGGTAGAAGCAGAACTTGGGACACAAGGTACTGGTACAAGCAGTACCTGGGACACAAGGTATTGGTATTAGCAGTACTTGGGACACAAAGTACTGGTACAAGCAGTACTTGGGACACAAGGTACTGGTACAAGCAGTACCTGGGACACAAGGTACTGGTACAAGCAGTACTTGGGACACAAGGTACTGGTACAAGCAGTACCTGGGACACAAGGTATTGGCATTAGCAGTACTTGGGACACAAGGTACTGGTACAAGCAGTACTTGGGACACAAGGTACTGGTACAAGCAGTACTTTGGACACAAGGTACTGGTACAAGCAGTACATGGGACACAAGGTACTGGTACAAGCAGTACCTGGGACACAAGGTACATGTATTAGCAGTACCTGGGACACAAGGTACTGGTACAAGCAGTACTTGGGACACAAGGTACTGGTACAAGCAGTACCTGGGACACAAGGTACTGGTATTAGCAGTACCTGGGACACAAAGTACTGGTACAAGCAGTACTTGGGACACAAGGTGCTGGTACAAGCAGTACTTGGGACACAAGGTACTGGTACAAGCAGTACCTGGGACACAAGGTACTGGTACAAGCAGTACTTGGGACACAAGGTACTGGTACAAGCAGTACTTGGGACACAAGGTACTGGTACAAGCAGTACCTGGGACACAAGGTATTGGCATTAGCAGTACTTGGGACACAAGGTACTGGTACAAGCAGTACTTGGGACACAAGGTACTGGTACAAGCAGTACTTTGGACACAAGGTACTGGTACAAGCAGTACATGGGACACAAGGTACTGGTACAAGCAGTACCTGGGACACAAGGTACATGTATTAGCAAGTACCTGGGACACAAGGTACTGGTACAAGCAGTACTTGGGACACAAAGGTACTGGTACAAGCAGTACCTGGGACACAAGGTACTGGTATTAGCAGTACCTGGGACACAAAGTACTGGTACAAGCAGTACTTGGGACACAAGGTGCTGGTACAAGCAGTACTTGGGACACAAGGTACTGGTACAAGCAGTACCTGGGACACAAGGTACTGGTACAAGCAGTACTTGGGACACAAGGTACTGGTACAAGCAGTACTTGGGACACAAGGTACTGGTACAAGCAGTACCTGGGACACCCTAGTATTATATACTAGGATTTACAGTTAACTTTTGTTCCTTTTATTAAATATTTCTACCTTTAATAATCAATTTCTGAAGCTTTACTTCAGTAATTGATTATTAGTGAGAAAAAGTAATTTTACTTTTAATTAACAAGTGACGAACTCCTTTAGGAAGACATGTTCAAACCGTCAGTAATTAAACATATTGTTTAATATAATCTTCTAGATAAATAACCCGTATCTCGGGATGTTTTTTGATGTATTAGATATTTTCCCCATGCCTATATATAGCCGTCCTGCTCCTCCTCTGTTAGTGTGACTTTGTCAATGGTCCAAGTCGGACCGAAACGTCGTCGTAAGCTTCTGTCTTTTATGTGCGGGTTATTTGTGTATCGTTCCAGTCACGGTATTGTGCCTTTTTGTTATTTATTTAGTTATTTATATTGGTGTGTGGTAACTCAAGAACATCGATACTTAGTGGTTGGAAACTTGCCATTCTGGTGTGTCTCAGTGATGAAGAGGCTTATAGTGTTTGTGCGAGTGTCAGCCTGATAGTTTTAATGAACAACTGGAATATTTGTTTCCCTGTAATAGCTTGAGAATGTCTCTATGTATTTGCTTCAAACCTTCATAATGTCTCTCTGTATCTGCTTCAAACTTTGAATTCTGGTGCAGCTTACTTAAAAGAAATCGGACTTTTTATTGTGCTTTGTAGGTGTCATTTTTCCAATAATAATTAAAAAAAAAAAACAGGGTTCATCATACTAAGCTTTTAATTATTATTTTTAAACGTTGTGCTCTAACAGTCTAGTTCGTCTTCTTATGTAGGTGAACAATTCTGTCCTTCATCCAACCCTTTGAAAATTCGGGAATTTAAGTCATAACCTTTAACCAACCTCGATCATTCTGAGTGGTCTCTGTTAACAAGGGATGACAGGGATGAATCACAGGGCGTGAGTCTCCTGAGGGTGTTGAGCTTCAGCTTTTGTGCCTCTTGAGGTGTTGAGCTTCAGTTCATGAGCCACTGATTCTTTCAAGTGTTGATCGCTACCTCCTGGACCTCCAGAGGGAGTTGAGTTATAGGTTCTAGGTCTCTTGAGGGAGGTGAGCTACAGGTCTTCCGTCTCCTGAATGTTTTGAGGTACAAATTCTTGCGGTCGTTGAGGTAGAGAGGGTTGAGGTTATAGGACAGGGAGGAACGAACGAACGAAGACGACCAGAGCTGCCGTAAGATGGGAAGGAAGAAAGATGGGGAAGAATGGAAATACTGGAAAAGGATGGGAGGGAGGAGGAGAGGAAGAGAAGAAAGGCAAGTGACCCAACCACTTCGGTGCATGTGGTACAGATGTACTGCAGGCTTGGATGGGTAGGGATGAAGGACATCGGTACTTGGCTCCCAAGGAGGGGATGGCGAAGGCGGCGGCAGAAGTCAGGGAAGTTCCAGAAGGCAGCCATCAGGACGATCTGTACAGTGAATGGCTGGCGGGAGGCTTGTTAAATTATTGTCCCAGACTGGAGAAAGTTGAACTTCGATCTTGAGAGACGGTGTAGTTTAAACAAGAAGTTGGGGTTTGTCTCAGGATCCTTAAGGATATCGATTAGTTCATCAACGGTGGTAGAGTAGGTGGCGGTACAGGTGAACTTAGCAGTCGCGTCCTCGAGAGAGCTGACGAGTTCCCGGGCAATCAGTTCGTTAGGAGAATGTCGAGTGGTGTAGAAAGTGAGTCCAGTCATACAGTGGCGACAGGGAGGATAGTGTAAATAAAACTTATAATATGCAGCAGCCTGTTTCTTCATATATTGTCTTTATTCATTTTAGAAGCTTGTATCTGTTTCAGATCGTGCAAATAACATAACGTTTCATTGCTCTAATAAGAATGTCTAACAAGTTACAAATATTTTTTTCTCCCGAATGTTTGCCATTCCTTACCACTTTTCTATTCTTGTCATATTTTATGTTTGTTATGGCTTGCAAGTTTTTCATGGTTAGGCTTGTAGACTGACCATGGCTTCCAGACCTGTCAAGGCTTGCATGCGTACGTTGTCTTTCAGACTTGTCACGAAGCCCACATGTTGCTAACGTCATCCTAACATTACATACAGATTGTGAGCGTGCGTGCTGATTTGTTTGTATTTTAAGATTTCTCACCAGACTTCTTGCGCATCTTGAAGTATAAACATCGTGACTGTGCTTCCCATCTCAAACATGTAATCCCGTGGTTACACAGTGTATGAGTTACCTGAGGGAAAAAAGGTAGTCAGATGCACCTCTCTAAATTTTTTCTTACAAATTTATCACTGTTTCGTAGGTGTTGTTATATGATGTGCCAATACCAAGAACCGGTAGTGTAAGGATGCTGCAAGATTAGTCTCGGAAGGTTCTAACCGAGAGAGTTGTTACTTGTCTGATGGGTAGATGGATGTACCCGGAATTTAGTCGTGCGTAATTGTTTTTGCTGATACTAAAACTCTGATCAGTCTGGCAAAAAAGTCTGGCAAAAAAATCAAGATGGTTATCAGATCAAAACCAACATTGAATATTTTACCCTAAATTACTGATAACATAATTCTTTAGGTAAAGGGAGTCACCCGCATTTTCGTGCTGATAAGGATGCTGGTAGTATGACTCCAGGTAAGTAGAATATTCAAGATGGATGTCATCTTTACCATAAAGTAGTGGTCACAGACAATGAAAGACTCGCCTTCACCGAACCCTTTACATTAGTCAGGGGAAAGGAAATGAACCGGACAGGTTAAGTAAGGTAACCAAACCTGTCCAGTACATTTCCTTTGGCTTACTGGTCCACCAATTTAAAAAATATGGTTACGGTTATAACTCATAAAAATATGTATATAAACGACATTTATAGTTTCATAAGACATACAGTACATTAATTCAGAGTCAAATCCAGAGAACATTAATCAAATATTTTATCATGTATCCATAAATACCACTCAGATAATGCAGAATAATTAGATAGTGGCGCACCCAGGAGGGGGCTGACGGCTGGGGGGCTAAACCCCTCCTCCTCCCAGAGACAAATGCTTTTCAATTTTTATTTCAATTAATGACTAATTTTGGGCTGTATTAAACTGGCCAGTGACAACACAAACACGATGATTTAAGAGATTTCTCATACATACCGAATACCATGTTTTTAAAACTATTTGACTGTTTCATGATTTGAAGACCCCCAGACTGAAACCCTGCGTTTAGCCCCTCAAATTGAAACCCTGAAATAAGAATACCATTCACCCCATCAGACTGATACCCTGGCTGCGCCACTGTGCTCAACAACAACTGTTATTCATTGGTAAGCAAAAAATTTATGTTACGCAGGGAATTATTGTTATCATTCATGTATAGTAACTTCTTGTATTAATACAGAAAACGCTTGTACCACCTCTTTCACTGTCACAACAATGCCACAAGAACGAAGGTAAAACTACAAGCTATAGGCTTTCTCCTAGCACCCTGAAACAAAAACTTATAACTAATGTACAAATAAACTACGTCATGTCATTATCTTCATTGTCATTATCATGAGCTTCCTCTCTCTCTCTCTCCGCATCATCTTCCACATTTGTCTGTCATGTGGTTTAAACAACTGTCAGCGGCAGCACATCTGTAAGGCACAGGAGGAGCAAGGTAAACGGCGGCACGTCTACATCTAACATAAGCAGCGTTGAGCACTGCTGCTGCAGTAGTGGATTAATTGTCACTCCCAGAATTTGTTTCCATGAAGTGATTTCTTCTTATATTATATATATATATATATATATATATATATATATATATATATATATATATATATATATATATATATATATATATATATTGGTTTTTAATACTGACGTGCTGTTGGAGTGTGAGCAAAGTAACATTTATGAAGGGGTTCAGGGAAACCGGCAGGCCGGACTTGAGTCCTGGAGATGGGAAGTACAGTGCCTGCACTCTGAAGGAGGGGTGTTAATGTTGCAGTTTAAAAACTGTAGTGTAAAGCACCCTTCTGGCAAGACAGTGATGGAGTGAATGATGGTGAAAGTTTTTCTTTTTCGGGCCACCCTGCCTTGGTGGGAATCTGCCAGTGTGATAATAGAAAAATAGAATATATATATACATATATATATATATATATATATATATATATATATATATATATATATATATATGTGTATATATGGCTCAAGGAGACTAGAACCTACGAACCTTGAAACAAGGTACGCAGTGCAATACCAGTGAGAATGGTATAGCACTGCGTACCTTGTTCCAATGTTAGTAGGTTCGAGTCTCCTTCAGCCAGAGATCAGTGTTTGTGTATATTTCGCCTGCTCTTGCGAATTCCTTATATATATATATTATATATATATATATATATATATATATATATATATATATATATATATATATATATATATATATATATATATATATATATATATATTATAGGTAAGAATACAGAGTAAGACTGTAAGTAGGAGTGCAAAGGACTATGGAGGTTTTAGGAAGGGCAGGGGATGTTTAGACTAAATGTATTACAACCCAGGAATCCAAATGGCCTGTTATCCCGGGTGTAATGGGAGCAAAATAAACAGCAGATAAAGTTTAGACATATTATCCTTCACCAATTTAGAACAGCAATATGTACACTATGTACAGTGATAAGTATAGTGCACTCCACGGTAAGCAAGGCAGAAATAGAAGCCACAAGATAGCAGACCGTGCTTCAACCAGCTGTAGAATGGGAATGACAAGGGCAGACAGGAGAGTGGTACCCACATAACCTCTGCGATTGCCAAAACCATCTTCTTATTGGCTAGAACCTGGTCACTAGTTGAACGACGGGGCCCCATCATCAACTCTTAGCAACCTGGTTCGCTGGTTGGGGGAGATAGCCTGTAAATGAGGGTGGGTACATGCGCCGAATAAAGGTTACGTACTCTTTGCATGCCACAAAGTGTTTGCACTGAAACATTTAAGTGAACGATACTTAGATAAAGGTAAGAGCATTCTTATTTCGTTTATGAATTTTGAAAAGGCATGTGATTAGGTGTATAGGGGATCAATATGACAGATGTTGCAAATGTATGGAATTGGTTGTAGGTTTTGAAAAGCAGTAGAATTTTTATGATGAAAAAGAGGCTCTGGTTAAGATATATAGGAGAGAGGGGGGATTGTTTTCACACATCCCTTTGACAGGGATGTGTGACGTCACCATGGTTAACATATTTATAGATGGGGCTGCAAAAGCAGTGAACGCCAGGATGCTGGGTAAAGGAGTAGAATTAGAAGTGGAACTCGTCACATTTGCTTTTTTGCCGATGACACAACACTTTTGGGAAGATTATGAAGAGAATTTACGAAGGTCGGTGGAGGATATGTGAAAAAAAAATAACAAAAAGTGAGCTTAGGAAACAACAAAATGATGAGAGTAACAAAAAGTCTAGACAATGAAAGGTCGGATATTAAACTGAAGGGATGGAGAATGGAGGAGGTAAATGTGTTCAGGTATGTGGAAGTAGATTTGTCAGCTGATGGGTCTATGAAACGTGAGGTGAACCATAAAACTGATGTGGGAATAAAGTTGGAGGTGCATTGTGACATTTGTGAAGACATGACCATTATCGATCTAGAACAGGGTAATGTACCAGAATATAGTGGTACCAACACTGTTATGTGAGTGTGAAGAATGGGTTTTAAACGTTACAGTGATGACGGGGTTGTAGGCAGTAACGATGACACGTTTCTCTGTGGTGTGAATATCATGCAAAGAAATCTGAGCTTGGAGACTAGGTGTGTATTATTCAGAGGACTGAAGAGAGATTATTAAGGTGGTTTGAACATTTAGAGAAGTAAAATAGGATGATTAGGATGGAGTATAATTCTGGGGTGGATGGAAGGAGGGATAATGATCATTCGTGGAAAGGCTGAATGGAGGGGACAAGGAGGTTTCGAGTGCTAGGGGCTTGATAGACGTGAAGCAAGGTGGCTTTTATGTTTTGACGTGCTGTTGGAGTGTGAGTAGGGTATCAATCATGACGGGATTTAGGGAAACCGGTTACCCAGGTTTGAGTCCTGGAGGTGAGAAGTACAGTGCCTGCACTCTAAAGGAGAGGTGGGGATGTTGCAGCTCAAAGGTCCATCTGAACTGTGATGTCAGCACGCTTCTGGCAAGACAGTGACAGAATGAGTGACGTTGAAAGTGTTTCTTCCTTGTTCGGGTCACCCTACCTCGGTGGGAGACGATCTTTGTGTTAAAAAATATATATATAATCCCATACGAAAATGATCAGCAAACATTCAAACAGCCCTGGCAGACCAACGTGTGTCGGACATATTATGTAACAAACAACTTATAGTCTCAGATAATTTATAATATATTAAAGGGCTTAGACCGAGTTCCCTTAGAAAGCACAAGGTCCTTCTTTATCCCTGACTGCCCCTCTGTCTGGACATCGTTTGCAAGGGAGAATAGACACAGTCATCAAGGTTGACTCTGAATTTAGTGATAATTTATCTGTCGATGTTGTAAATGTTATTCATTAATGCCCACTTTAACATAAATCAATTCGTATTTTCATGTCATAAACGAAATGCTGGTTGCCATTTTATCTGCAAACATCTTAAAGAAATATATATAAGGAAAATACACTTAGTAGGCAAATGTAATGGTAGAACATGAGATTTAGTTAATAAATAAAACTGCAAATAATACCAGCATTTATTTTTTTTTTTGGAAGACAAAAGTTAAATTATAACAGTTCATGGATTTTCATGGTTTTCCATTAAAGTAATTACTGATACTGATATAAATATGATTAAAAATTAGCTTCTGAGAAATAACAATGGCAGTAAAACAAACAAAGATTTTCTGTTCATAAAAGAATTGCTGCTTTATGGCTGTGAATACAATCTTGACGGCTGAGATACAGAGACACCAACACCAGATGAAAACCTATTTCCGCCACCTAAGCTGCCACCTTTACTCACGAAGCCAGCAACACCACCCAAGCTGCCACCACCCAACTGGCACCACCCAAGTTGCCAACACCCAAGCTGCCAGCACCCAAGCTGGCACCACCCAAGCTGACACCACCCAAGCTGCCACCACCCAAACTGACACCACTCAAGCTGCCACCACCCAAACTGACACCACCCAAGCTGCCACCACCCAAGCTGCCACCGCCAAAGCTGTTAATCAAGTTACTGCCACCAAGGGCAGCGGAGCTGAGGGCAGACTGAAGATCTCCACCGGTGGGCAGAGATGGGTTGTCGCCTTCAGCATAGTTGACGAAGTACAATTGCGGGATCTCTTGCTCTGGTGCCGGTACTTGGATGACCTTCTGCTGGTGCACAGGTCGTTTGTTGAGAACGTACAAGACATTTTTCTGTTGAGGTGGTGGCACCACAATTGGTTCAAGGGCTGGGAGGGGTTCTGGATTACGTATGAACACAATATTGTGGTCAAGTCTTGGTAGGGGAATGTATGGTCGTGGACCAATGATCGGCGGCACCTGAGGAGCATTGAACACATACAAGTTGCGGGTGATCTGAGGAGTTACGCAGCTACCGTCCACATGACGGATCTGTCCATGACCACAGCTGCCTCCAGAAAATCCAGAGCCTCCAAAGGCTAATCCTGAACCAGAAGAGAATGCTGGACCAGAGGGCGTCGCTAGGTCGTAGCCTGGAGACTCGGCAACAACAGCGATGACCAGCAAGCAGGATAGTATCTGAAGAGACAGAAAAGAACTTGGCTGGTAAACTTTTGACAAGGTGATTAATTTCATTTAGTGAACAAACAAGAAAATTAATTATTACTACGAGTGGCTGGCCCAGGGTCAGGCTCTTGGAGTAGAAAAACACTCGGAAGTTATCAAAGGTAAGTGAGAAATTGAGGTCCAATTGTCGTACGACTTGCTGGTGTATATTAATGTAACACAATTTTACGCGGGAATTATTGTTAGTTGAGAACATCCTTAGGTTTGTCAGTGTTTATTTTGGTATTCCCAAGTCATGGTCATACATGTTTGTGTGTGTTAATAAATTATGGCTGAGAACACATTATGTTGACATAAAATTAATGTTTACATAATGGGGTTGGTTAATGATGATCAAACTAAAGTCTTCTTAATTTCCTGAGACTATTTCTTCTCTGTAGGGTTTGTGTGTTCTTTTGTAACATGACGGATATTTACGAAATATATCATTTTAAAATCGTTTAAATATAGAAATATTTAGTAATATGGTGATAATTAAGAAATAGCACTATACACACACATATATATATATAGATAGAAAGATAGATAGATATCATCTCATCCAAAAATTTATATACTTATATATCCAGATTAGTCACTATCACTTTTATAACCTGATATCCAAGCACTGTCTGTTCACATACGGAGGCACTTAAACAACTCTTTTACCATCCAAGAGCAGTTGAGTGAAATATTAAATAGTATAGCAGCGCTACTGTAGAAGGAACCACTCACCAGGAGCTTCATGGTAGCGTGTGATGACTGACCTAGATACCTAACCCTTATATACCTACCTCCCTCGTCCACTTTTTCTAGTAAGCTTTTTTTTTCCATACCTTTCGTTGCTCACGTGATTGTGAGTTTTCTGCTAGTTACACAGAAGAATATTTCACTGTAATGATCGAGGGATTCAATAAAATTTCCTGTTTTTTTTTGTTCATAATTACGACTAGGTGAGTTATTACACACATAATTAAGGACCAAACACACGCTATGAAGGAACATCAAAAAGTGAGTATACATTACCGGACAGGTTGTTAGGTAAGACACATATGCAACAGTTAGACAATTTGTTCGATACGTTTCGCCTACACAGTAGGCTTCTTCAGTCGAATACAGCAAAGTTGGCGGAACAGTTAGAGTGTGAAGTACGATGTAATCGGTCCATCACCTTAAGAGTCGTAGAATTTGATGGGTGATGGACTGATTACATCGTCTTCAGCATCTCTACTTTCTGCCTATCTTTCTGTTATTCGTCTGATGAAGCTACTGTTGTAGGCGAAACGTTTCGGAGTACAAAGTTTGTTCTAAACTGGTTGCCTATGTGTCTTACCTAACCACACGTTGATATTGGGAGTTATTGCCTCCGCAATTGTTCCTTTTCTAATATGTTTTCAGGATCTCGTAACAGTTGATGAGCTTGCTGCCTTCTAGATGCTAAGAACCGAGACGATTTAGCGCTAAAAATACTGACTAAAGTGTGCTAAGTTGGCCGTGTCGTTGTAAGTATCTTTTTGCTACTGCACCATCTAGGCAGCAGCTCGTCGTTTGTGGAAATTTCGCGGAAAAATCATTCATGATTGTTGTTGAAAGGTTATATATTTTTAATTTCGAGTTAATGAAATCAATATATTCGTTAAGTGCTCCTCTCTCAGCCTTTCATTTGCAGAGCGTGAAATTCAGGATGCATGAAGTGTTTACTGTCTCTATTGGTTATCATTGGTTTCCTGATTGGTCAACTGTCTCCGGACTGGATCAACAGTCTTCTGTTTGATCAAAACACTGTGTCCGTGTGTGGGTTCATCACTGTCTGATTGCCCATTCATGTCTCTGATCTGGTCATCTCATAGTCTCTGATTGCTCATCACTGTATCAACTGAATGCGTCATTACTAATCAGTGTAGCCACAAGAGCAATAAGAAGTATCAGAACGTCACAGAAATGACTCATCTCATGCGTTGGTCTCAATTAAGTCTCTACCACCTGGAGGCCCAGTCACAACACCTCTCTTGTACCAACAATAACACAATGGATCTATGTCAAACTTAAAAGGTCTTCGCGTATTTTCCTGAGGGGGACTATGCTTCTCTGGTAGGAGTTATTGTGTTCTGTTATAATATGACGGATATCTGTAAACAGTTTACTGTCTCACTTGTGACATTTCAAATCTTCCTCTATAGGAATAAAAAATGTCAGTGTATTTGCGTATAGAGGACTTAGGAAAGGCGACGTTGGTACTTTGAGAATAACCGTAGGTTGGTGCTGTTCTGTTCCTCAGCCCTCTTACCTTTGCGTGTTAATTTTGTTGTATGCGTCATGTTAGGTTAGTTGCGATTAACGTTAGGTTTATTGATAGGTTTGGCTAGGTTAGATCAGGGTACTGTGACGCTTAGGTTTGGTCAGATTAGGTTACGATTGGTTTAGGTTTAGGTTAGGTTACTTTAAGTTTCGTTAGAGGTCTAGGTTAATTGTACATTATGTTTTCCTGTTTTTATGTTTGGGTTATGCTGACATTATATTAGAAATACATATTTAAATCAATGGGCTAATTTCCACATTTTGAACACGAAAAAACACAAAAATATATCTAAGCTTCATATAAGCAGATGGAGACAATATCACTATGACACAAACACTGACAACAGCGAAATCCAACACGTATTCCTGACGAGCTGGCTGCCAGGTACTCATTAAATCGTTTAAAAACACACGTTTTTATGTGAGGATGGGCGCCCCTGGAACGTAAAATCTCGCCGTCCTTGTGTTCATACTCAACTCACAAATGATGTTGCTGTTCCGGATGTCCATACGAAGAATTAGTAAAGCAGTTCAAATATGTTTACGCGCACGTTTAGCAAATGGTTATGCAGAGACCATCATAACACAGGAGGATGTTGGGTGCGGCAACTTATGTTAGGTACAGGGCCAATTATTGTCGCAAAGTAACGCAACACTTGGAGCCACTTCGAGGACGCAGCGCTGAAGCTCGAAGGTCTCTGTATACACAAGAACCTGGCAGCATGCGAGCGTAACTTCACTCAAGCATGTACCCTTCTCCAGAAATCACTTGTCATTTGAGATCATTTTAGATTCCCCAGGAATGGACTCTCGAGTCTGGAACACATTCGTACATCATTTATGATGACAACGAGATAAAGTCAGTTTGATATGGATGAAAAATTGGCTGGCCCACAGATGAGACTCGCTCAACTCATCCTGTTTTCCTACTTGCATTTATGTTCTTAAGTAATAAAAATGCTTTTCAGACTCAGATGATGTAGGTAACTGCTCTTAGCTTGTCAATAAAGTTAGGATCTTAACCTGTCAATTAGCTTGTCAATAAGCTAAGGATCCTTAGCCTGTAAAATAGCTTGTCAATAAAGCTAAGGTTCGACTTAACTTGTAAGTTAAGAATAGCTTGTCAATAAGAAGACTAGAGAATCGCCTTTGACTGGTAAATAGATATCAATAAAGTTGGGGATTCGCACTGTTAGGGTCAACAGGAAGGGTGGTGGTGTGGGCGAGGTATGTCGAGAAAATTTAAATTGTTGTCTTAGACATGAAGTTCAGTTAGATATAATCGAACAAAGGAATTGTTTGGCTACAGTTTCTCGAGGGAGCGTGACAATTAATTTAGTTTGTGATTTATAGGCCCCCAATCCTTGATAGGGGGGTAGTATAGGTAACTTGTTATGGGACGAAATTCATTAAGGCTTCTAGATGATGATAAATATTTTGATAATGGGAGATTTTAACTTTAGACAAATTGATTGGAACTAATATGACAGGAAATCTTGAGTCTAGGCGACTTTCTTGATACGGTTAGGATTGGTATTTTAGGACGTTTGTGATAGAACCAACTAGGAGAAAAACAGTCTGCTTGACTTGGTTCTTGCCAACTAAAGATTCACTAATTAAAATCTTGAGGTTAATGGGAGCTTGGGGGAGGAAAAGTGATCACGCAAATCACCTTAGTTTCAATATACATGGAATGGCTCGAATCTCTGTCCCAGTTCTCGCTTTGGCCCGACTTTCATGGGATGAAAAAATTATTGGGGTGGGCTAAGATTTTTTTGGTTGTCCTGATATGGGTCACCGTAGTGTGATCTGGTTGCCTATATGAGTTTATTCAGGTACATAGTACTAGCTTGCCAGTCTACTTTTGTTTCGAGTAGGGAATAGTAGATCTAACAAAACTTGATCGCCCAGAAATGGATGAACAATAGATTAAAAACATCTCATTGGTCAAAAGAGAGGCATATATAGGCGTATCAAAAGAGGGGATGGGCTGTTAAGAATTCAATATATTCAGGTAAAGAGGAGAAATTAAGAAAAAAGGAATAAGGCAAAAGCAAAAAGGGGATTATGAAGCTTGAGGTCGCAGGTTTCGCAAAGATAACCAAAAGGGTTCGTTCAGGTATACAGAAGAAAGTAAGATTAGGGACAAGATTGACCCCTTAAGTGTATACTCTGGTCAGATCATGACAGTGATAAGAATATGTGGTGAAATTCTAAATACCTACATTCCTCTCAGTTTTTTCACCCAGGAAAAAATACTAGCCGATATTCTGAAATAATAGATTATGTTAGAACAGGTTGATAATAAACTATGTCCGATTGCGAGTAACTAGTGAACATGGTCCTCAGACAAATAGAGAAACTAAACCTTAAACAAATCCCCAGGTCCTGTTGAACTGTTTGCAAGGGTGTTAAAGGAATATAAAGGAGGTACTTAGCATTCCTTTGGCTAATCTTTTGAATATGTCCGCTGAAAATTGGCATTTGTATGATAAGTGGGAAAATGGCAAATGTAATTCTATTTACAAGGCAGGTGACAGGGTCCTTGGCTTCGAACTATAGACCAATAAGCCTTACCTCCATAGTGGGAAAATTTATGGATTCAATAATTGCTGACAGAAGCAATTCGTAGCCCATTTGGAGACATGGCCACAGATTGATTAATGAAGCTCAACACTTGTTTTACAAGGGGGCATTCCTGTCTTGCGTAATTACTAACTTTTTTTCACTTAGGTGTTTGAGGAGAGTAGATCAATGGTTAATGATTGATATTTGTGTATAAGGACTTCAGTATGTCTTTCGATGAGTCACACAGAGGCGTAGTGAGGAAATTAGGGCTCACGGAATAGGAGAAGAAATATTTTCCTGGGGTTAGAGCATGGCCTGCCAAATCGACAGCAGAGAGTTTGCATAAATGGGGAGAGATTCAGAAATGGGGGCACGTCCAAGCGGTGTTTCCTCAGGGTGTCTGTATTGGCCGTGTTGTTCACAATTTACTATAAACGAGCATTAGGATGTGGGATAATTAGCGATAATAACAAATTTGCTGATGACACCAAAATAGCCGTCCAATTCATTCTAATGAGGATATTAGAGCACTCCGGGATGATTTGAAAGAGAACGTGACGCAATGGTCGGATGAAGTGGCAGATGCAGTTTAAGATTTACAAATGCAAAGTCTAATTGTTGGACAGATAAATAGCCATGCCACATATAAACTATATTATATTAGATCTTAATTATCTACTGATTGTGAATAAGGATTTAGGAGTTCTGGTTTAGCAGTAACCTAAACCCAAAGAAACAGTGCATTAGTGTTCGCAATAAAGTACGAAATTCTTGGCTTCATATCTAGAAGTATAAATATATAGAAGTCCTCAGGTTGTGTCTTCAACTATTTCTATATATCGTGGTTAGCCTAATTTAGACTATGCTGCTCAGTTTCTGGTCACCGTATTACAGATTGGATAT